GGCTGCCAGATCTCTGACCATCCGGTGCCCTCAGAACTCCAAAGAAAAGTTGAGGTTATGGGCGCGCACATAGCACACCACTTTCCGCCCTTCACTTCTTAGGGGCGCTGCCCATCGCGCCAACAGTGCCTGCACTGAGTCTGCCCTTGGTCTGCCTTGAGTTTGCCTGCAGTTAGTCCGCCCTCAGTTCGCCCCGGCCCACTCGACTGTGCTCAGCCCGCGTAGCAATTGTATGAAATCAGCTCTGCAGCGCTATGGGCAGTGCCCATAAAAAGTTAAGGGCTGAAAGTGATGTGCTATGTGCGCGCCCATAATCTTAACTTTTCTTTGGAGTTCTGAGGGCACCGAATGGTCAGATCCTGCGTCGTCGGCCTGCATTATGAGAATATCCATCGGGGTTTCCAAAGGAATCTCCATTGTAATCCCCACAATAATCTCCATATGTAGGAATCTCCCTAGGAATCTCCATTGGAATCTCCATAGGAATCGCAGCAAGAATATCCATCGGAATCTCCATCGGGATATACACAGGAATATCCATGGGACACTCCATAGGAAACGCCATAGGAATCCCCAGAGGAATCTCCATGGGAATCACCATAGGGATCCCCCTAGGAAGTGCCATCGGGATCTGCACTGGAACCTCCATGGGAACCTCTATAAGGCGCCTGTGCAACCCAGCTCAAGGTGTGAGCCTAATGGCAAAAGAGGAGGAGGAGGAGGAGGAGGAGGGAGGGAGGAGGGAGGGGGGAGGAGGGAGGAGGGGAGGGAGGAGGAGGAGGAGGAGGAGGGAGACACGGAGGGGGGATGAGGGGGAGGGAAGAGGGAGGAAGGGGAAGAGTTGATTCGCTCGTGGGCTGACGACAAGAACGACGATCGACCGAAGGGCCCGAGGGGGCCGAGAAGGGAGCGAGGGACGGGAAAACCCAGGACCCCAGACAGAGCCGACCGAGGGACCCGACCGACAACAAACAGGACCGAAAACCTCGAGGGCCGCGATCTCTGTGCAGAATGAACAGGCCCCGCTTGGTAGTTGGAATATGTATCCCTGCCGTAAGAAACAAAATGGGGGTCGTCGGCCCCCCTCTCACCCCTCCTCCTCCTCCTCCTGCTCCTCCTCCTCTTCCTCCTCCGTAGCCATTTTGGCTCAAGACTACTGCACTTGGGGGGGTCCGCGCCTCCGTGCCTGAACGGGATAGCTCTGTTCCCCGAGCTTGCTTTCATCCATTCGCCTGGTCCGCCCCAGGCAGAGTGCTGCGCGGTCCGCCCCGTGCAGTACAGTGTTCTGTGAGCTCATGCAGGAGCACGCGCAGCCACGAGGTCGCTCTGGTGGGCACTCTTGGGCTTGAGCAGCCTTGGCCAAGCAGGATGGGGCCCAAGAAGCCTCCCAGCGGCCACAGCAAGCAGCGCGCCGCTTGGTCGCAACCCTGGTACTGCCGCTTTTGCTGGGCCCCATCGGGCGAGCGCTGGTGGAATCACGTGGATTTGCTGGCCTGCAAGAAGTGCCAGCGATCCAAGGGGCAGTGCTTCCATTCGAATCGCGTGCCCCACGAGCCCTCTGTGTCAACCCAGGGCAAGGCAGCGGCTGCTGAGATGCGCAAGCTCCAGGCGGAGCTCAAGGAGGCAAAGTCGGAACTGGTCCAGGCCAGGGCCGAGGCCAAGGAGGGCAAGGCAGCTACGGCCACGAAGCCCGACCCCTTCGGCATGGACGTCGACTCCAGCATGGCACAGCTCGGGGCCGAGGTCGGTCGAATCCGACCGGGCCAAGGAGCTGCGAAAGGCGATCGCCCAGCTGGAGGGCATCAGCGACTCCTCTGGCCAGGTGGCGGCGCTACGCGAGAAGCATGCCGCTGAGCTGGCGCAGCTGCGGGCCAAGCAGATGGGTCAGAAGCCGCTGCCCGTCCAGATGCAGCGGCTCTCGCAGCAGATCACAGGTCTTGAGCGCAAGGCCGAGGGCAAACGCGAGGTCATGGCCAAGCTGCTGGGCCAGTTGCGGGAGCTCCAGGCGCAGCACGACGAGGCTGCAGCATCCCTCGGCTCCATCCAGAGCGAGATCGCGGTGTTGGAGGCCCAGCGCACGGAGGTGGCGGTGCAGTTCCCGCAGCCTACCACCGTGGTCGAGGGCGTCAAGGCCTCTCTCGATTCGGTGCTGCCGAGTGTGCAGATGTCGGTCGAGCAGATGGTGCAAGTGCTCGGTACCTTCGGAGCCGACGAGGAGACTGCGCGGGACTTGCACAGGGCCGCAGGCAGGGTTCGCGAGGCAGCCGTCAAGGCGCAGGCGGAGCGGCAGGCAGAGCTGGAGCGCCAGCAGGCGGAGGCGGCCCGAGCCGCCGGCCCCCCCGCGGGCGGCGCGGCGCCTGGCACTCCCGAGCCTGCGGTGGCGCCGCCTGCTGCGACCAGGGGCTTTCGCTTGCCTGCTGCTGCCGGTGTGGGCGCTGTTTCGCCAGGGGTGCTCAAGGCCTTCCTGCAGGCCATGGGGCAGACTGTGCCCCCCGACTAGGCCGACCTCCGTGAGGCTGCCAAGCGCTACGCTGACGGGCTCGAGAGCTTCGCCAAGCGCCAGCGCCTCGAGGCGCCAGCGGCTGTGGCCACTGCTTAATCGGGTCTGGTGCTATATCATCATGATGATGTCTGCTCTTGATGGTACTTCGGCTGTCGGTGCCGACGGCAGCAGCGCATGCATACGTGCTCCATGTGGCGAGGCTGGTGGCGCCTGCGCCGCTGGGCCCCTCGGCGGCGGCAGCCCCTGGGAAGATGGAGCCCCGGGCCACCTTCCCACCGCCCTGGCGGAGGCAGCCCTTGGGAAGATGGAGCCCCGGGCCATCATCCCACCACCTGGGCCCCGCGCCGCTGCCACGGGCGTCGGAGCCGCTGGGCCGGCTCGTCAGGCCGACGGGCTGGAGGCGAAACCGCCTGCTGCTGACAGCGCTGCCGCTGCAGTCAAGGGGTTCGCGGCCACGGCGAACGCGTCGTCGTACGGCGCCTTGGAGCAGCTGCTGGCCAGCAAGTTCTCTGCCCAGGTCGTTCTGGTTCAGGAGCACCACGCAGGGGGCGACAAGATTGCGCGCCTTCAGCAAAGAGTGCGAGGCCTGGGCTACCATGGAGTCTGGGACACGGCCGTGGCCTCCCAAGGTGGTGGCACTCAGGACGGCTGCGCGGTCTTGGCTGCGGCTGACATCCAGGCGAGCGTGCCGCCGCTGCATCCGACGGGCTACCTGGTCCCAGGCAGAGCCACGGCGGGCCACGTGCACTGGGGCGTGGCTGGCGGCATCGTCTTCGTGTCGGTGTACCTGCGCGACTCCGCGGGGCTCGACGTCTCCAACCTGGAGATCCTGCGGGTCGTTGGCCATTGCGTGCTGGACGTCGCCAGCCGTGGCTATTCCTGGATTGTGGGGGGCGATTTGAACATGGCGCCCCAACTGTTGGCCCCCTGGTTCCACTCTGTGGGCGCGGTGCTGTTGAGCACGACGGCAACCGCGTGCCGGCAGAAGTTGCCAGGCTCCAAGCTGGAGTACTTCGGGGTGGACCACCGCCTTCTGAGCAGGGCCAAGTTGCCCGAGGTGGTGGAAGCGGCGAGCACGTATCCGCATCAGCCTGTGCTGCTGCCGCTCCTGGCCCATGATAGGCCGCCGTGGTGCAGGGTGCCGTGGGGGCCGAAGGCCTTCGCGGCCGTCGCGCCTCCAGGCTGCAGCCGGCCCCCGGTTGGGATCTGGCCCGCGGTCCAGGCGGCGACCGAGGCCGCCGCCAGCGACGCTGAGCTGGCCCAGTGCTGGGGCGACGTGCTGCAGGGTATCGAGCAGGAGCTCTGTGGCCGCTACGACCTGGTGGGCACGGCGCGTTTCGGCCAGGTGGGCCGAGCGGGGCCGCTCCGCATGCAGTGGCAGAAGCTCGCCTGGCAGCCGCCGCGGCACCGACCCCCGGTCAGGGGCACGGCCACTGACGCGTGGGCTGTGGCCGCTGGCTGGGCCAGACACTTGCGACGGGTCAGTGAGTGCCTCAGTTGCCGGATCCCCTCCCTGATGGAAGCGCGCGCAGCAGGTCGGGCCTCAGCTGCCGCGACATCCAAGCTGGGGGTCCTGCTCCACGACACCGAGGCCTTCTTCGCGCGCGTGCTGAAGCAGAAGTGGGTATTTGTTGCGGTCGACCTGTGTGTCCTCCCTTTTTTCGAGCAAGGGCTGCTGGTCTTTGCCGATGCCAGCTTCCACGACATGGTTGATTGGCTCATCCACCAGGGCGAGAGCAAGCTCGCGGATTTCGCTGCGGAGCGTGCCAAGTCATGGAAAGCCTGGGTGGAGGCGAGCTTCGTGCAGGGGGCGTCCAAGGCCCACCGTTTCAGCAAGGTGCCAGCGCTCCAGCCTGCCGAGGCGGCTTCTGCAGGTGTTCAGCCCTACGAGCGTGCTGATGAGTGCCTCGATTCCTGGGCCACGATCTGGGCTACCCACGGCTGCGTGCGCATGGAGCTCCCGCCTGAGGCCGCGCATTGGCCGCAGCTGCCGCGCATCTCTCATGTCGAGGTGCGCCGCGCGGTGCGTCAGTTCTCTTCCAAGACGGCTGTTGGGCCAGGCCGTCTCGCGCCGAGCAGTCTTTGGCATTTGAGCGACGCTGCCTTACAGTCGGTGGCCTTCTTGTTTACTCAGCACGAGACACTTGGAACGTGGCCGCAGGAGCGCGTTGCAACCGAGTTGGTTCGGCCCCCCAAGCTTGATAAACCAGGCGAGCACAGGCTGATCGCTCTCATTCACTGTCTTATTCGGGTGCGGGGGAGGGTTCGGCGGCCGGTGTCGGTGGAGTGGGAGAGGCAGCATCGTAGCGAGCTACTTTGGGGCTCGGGCCCGGGACGCTCGAGCTCGGATTGTGCGTTCTCACACAATTTGGAGGCCGAGGTGGCTCGTAATTCGGGTGAGCATTGTGTGACGGTGCTTATTGACATGATTAAGTGTTATGAACTAGTTTTGCTGACTGCGGTTATGGCCGAGGCTGCTGCTGTGGCATTCCCTTTGCGTTTAGCGTGGATGCTGGTGTCCCTTTATCAGCAGCCTCGGCGCATCCGGGGTTTTTGCTCCCTCAGCCGCTCTTGCAGGTTCTATCGGGGGATCCTGGCGGGTTGCAGTCACGCCACCACTCTCATGCAGGTTCTACTTCTCAGGCTCCTGCAGAGGCTCAAGAGGGAATTCGAGTTTGTGGTGCCCCGAGGCCTCATGGATGATGTGTCCTTCCAGTGGGTGGGGGCGAGGGCCGAGCTAGCTGGGGTGGTTTTTAATGCTGTAACGGCTCTCGCCGGCTACACCCGCCAGCTCGGCTTCCTCATCCAGGCCACCAAGTCGGGGTATATTGCGTCGTCCACAGAGGCGGCCAAGGCTGTCAAGGCCCGCGCGTCCAGGCTTAAATTGAAACAGTTCCAGTCAGCCAGGAATTTAGGCCACGACACCTTTGGTGGTGGCATTGCCCGCAGAGTCCTCGAGAGGAAAAGGTTGGGTACCGTTTTGGGGAGGCGGGGTCGCCTTCGTGCCCTCGGGGGCGCGGCCGGTCTGAAGGTGAGGGCTCTGTGGCGCACCAGTATCATGCCGTCGGGCAGTCGCGGAGCTGGGGTCGTTGGTCTCACTGACACTACCCTCATGAAGCTTAGGTCGTTTGCGGGAGAGATGGTAGGCGCCAGGCACGGTTTGGCTTCGCTTACCGCCTACACTTGCACGCAAAAAGACAGGATGTATGACCCCACTTTTGACGCCACTTGCCCGTTGATTGCCAGATATGCGTGTTGGCTTTGGGATGGCCGGGCGCCTCCCAACAGGCTCCGACGCGCTTGGTGCACGATTCGTGACAAGCTTGGTCCCCAGGGGTCCTGGAAGCAGTGTTTCGGGCCGATTTCGGCCGTCCTTCTCACCCTTCGTCGCATCGGCTGGGATATGTCGGCGCCCCACTTGCTCACTTCGGACCTCGGGGAACGCATTTCTCTGCGTGAATGTTCGCCCTGTGAGGTCAGGAGCCTAGTGCGAGACGGAGTCGAGCGCTGGTTGTGGCGTCGTATCCCCTTTTATTGGCCAGAGGCGACTGGTTCTGAGTTCTTGTGGGCTCGAGCGATGCGCCTCTCTCCCCTGGCCCTCCCAGCTGGTGCCCGGCAGGGGTCGATGCGTGCTCTGTGGTCTGGAGGGTTGTGGCCGCCTGCGCGCAAGTTTGACGCAGGTCTGTCCCTGTCAGCTGCTTGCACGTTCTGTGGAGCCCAGCGGGGATCCATGGGCCATCAATTCTTTGATTGTGCCGAGGCCTTCGCCTCGGGTGAGGACCAAGGCAGCGGCTGCGGGTTCTCTGATGATGTGTGGCAGCACAGGCAGGCCTTGCGGGAGAAGGGGCAAGACCTCGGGTCCTCTGAGTGGGATGTGGTGTCGTCTCTTTATGGGGTTCCTTCTCTTCCTATTCAGCTTTCTCCTCCCCAGGCTCGGCCGCCCGTGCTCTCCTGGGGTCTCGCGGAAGGTCCCTGGGGTAGGTTTAGGTTCACTGACGGGTCTGGGCTCCACAGTTCGGTTCCCGAGGCCATTCGATGTGGCTGGAGTGTGGTCGAGATTTCGGACGATGGGTGGCCCTTGAGGGCGAGGTTTGGCGGGCTCCTGGGGCGTTTCCAAACGGTTCCGAGGAGCGAAAGGTGGGCCGGCCTTGAGGCCGTCTCTCTTGGTCCCGCTGGTACCTTGCCGCCCGTCATAATTAGTGACCACCTCTCATTTGTTAATGAAGGGCGAAGCTGGGACCCCAATTTAGAGTATGGTCTTGCTGCTCACGCGTCGATCTGGCGCAAGATCTTCCGCGTTTGTGATCAGCTTTCAGCGAGGCCCGAATTCCACTGGACTCCTGCGCACCTTTCGCTGCAGGGGTTAATTGAGCAGAATGCGAGTGCTGGTGAATTCTGGCGTTTTATGGGCAATGCTTGGGCTGATTTCTTTGCCAAGCTTGGGGCTCAGGACATTGCGGTTGCAGATGTGGCGGTAGCTTCGCTCCAGGCCGCCATAAGTGATTGAAAGATGTCCTGTCAGTTCCTGTCGAGGGCTGTCCAAATTATTTGTGCACGTCCTGACGTTTCCGGGGCGCCTGCCCCAGCCCCCGCCCATGCCCCTCGGCCCCGTGGGCCAGTGCTGGTGGTAGTGGCTCACGACACCGTGCCTTTGGCTCCGGGATCCTCGGCCGTTGAGTGCAGGAACTGTTTGGCCAGTGCGAGGACCCCGGCCAGTTGCAAGTCGCTTCTGAAGCCAGGGGCGAGGTGCGAGCCTGGGCCGATGCTGACCAAGCTGGCTGCCGCCACCGAGCGGCTGGGCTGGCGTCAGCATGTCGAGGGGGAGGGGGCGTCTGCTCTTGCTGCTGCCGCTGCCGAGATGGAGGCGGGGGCTGCAGGGCACCTCTTCGAATGCGACGGGCATCGAGTCCACCGGGCAGGGCCCTACTTGATTTGTGGGCTCTGTGGCGCCCGGCCCTTGGGTCCCCCAAGCTCGATGCCCTCGGGGCACGCTGCCC